GGATGAATCCCTGCCGACGACAAATCCCTTTTAAGTCTTCACATTCCTCAACCACTTATTAGCACCCAATTATAGCATTAGTATTCCGGTAGCAGAGAGAGTGTTCACATGTGTGCGTTCGTATATGGCAAAGAAGCAGCTGGCATTCCCTACGACTGCAGGTGCAAGAAAGATGATCTACTGTTAGAAGAGTGGCAAAAGGATAGCATGAATTAAAAAAGGACTAGAGTATAAACTGTGAACACGAGCGCATTTGAGCTCACGGAGGGAGGACGTAAACATTAGTGGCTGGGTTTGCTCTTAAAGTCTAAGTAACGTTTAACTCTTTCTGACTAAACATTAAGAGTGTAAAAGACGCAATGTAGTAACTCAACAAAGTGTCCACAATAATATATCCAGAAAAATATTGATTTAGCAAGTATTTTGGTAATGCAAAGACATTTAATATTAATTGTTCAAAAGAAAATTATACATAAAGGTGGTTAAATAATTAGTGAATACGAGGGGCAACACCCATCAGTGTTATGAATTAAACCTTATAGAAAAGCAAAATGATACCCAGAAATGATCAAATCCTAAATTAAAGCATTCCTTGAGGGAATGCTCATCACCTGGGACATTTCAAGCCAGAGTTTTAAAGTCGTCTTGTGATGAGAAATGACGAGTTATAGCAAGTTTTGGTCAAACCTTGAAAATAATCTCAAGGTTCTTTATTGCCATTCGCATCACATGTGGTACATGAGGTGGAACAAAATTGTGTACTCAAGGTCCCAGTTACATCCAACAATGCTAAAATACGAAGTGTAAAAAGAAACCGTAAATAAGGATCTAAGACATAAACTAATATACGCTAAACGAACACAAAACGGTACACTAAAAGATCTAAGATATATGCTAAATGCTAATAGTGCAAAACAATACACCGAACAACAGCAGCACGAACATGAGTTATTGTGGGTGGATGAGTACGAATGAATACAGCAGCATGAATGTTCTAGAATTGCGCCGCTCAAGGTGGCTGCATGTTGGAGCAGCTCTGTTACTTTCATTCTGAGATTTTGCTTTTGGAAACTTTAATTCCTGGTTTTCTGGATGTAAGTCACATTTTTTGGACAATTGTTTCTTCTGGTATCAGATGCTGAGCAGCTGGAAGGATTTTTACTGAAACTTTTTTAGTTTTGGACATTTGTTATGATGCGTAACCATGGCAACAAGGCAGTTTTCTACAACCAACAGCAGCTGATTAACATCTCAAAAGCTCAAATAACATCTCAACTACAGCCCTAAATCTCAAATGAGTTGAAAAGGATGTTCTGTGGACACATTCTCATCTACCTGCCAGCTGTACTCGAGTGCTTGACCACTGAGATCCTGGAACTAGCAGGAAACACGGCTCATGACAGTGGAAGGACAGGATCGTCCCTCAGCACCTACAGTTGTCTGTCCGCAGCGACAAGGAGTTCGGCAGACTGCTGGGAGGAGTGGCCATCACTCTGGGAGGAGTTCTGCCTGGCATTCAGGTGGTTCTAAAGCCTGAGGGGAACCGAGAAGCCAGCCGAGTCTGGGTGGACGTATCGGACAGCATCTGCAGCCAGTTTCTTAGGATCCACGGTGGGATGGACCCATCCATCTAATCCGTCCAATCTTTTGGACATTGTAGTCAAACGTTGAGGGTGACTCAGCTACTACCATATCAAATTTTAGCTCAATTACGTAAGATTAGCTGCGTTATAGTCGTTATTGTGTTTACTAAGGTCACTTAGCTGTACACCATTTTGAATGGGGTTGATTCCAAATCAGTTGCATATGCACATCCAAAGAATATTTTCTGAGAATTTCATTAAAATCCATTTTGCACACACTACAAACAAATGAACGCAGACAAACACATCACTTTTAGCTTTTAGCAGCAGATAACCCGGCAAGAATGCAAGTACACATAACAGACAAAAAAATAAATGTAAATACTTTTCTAAACCAAGGATTGTTCAAATAATTTGGTACAATTATACAGAAAGAGATATGAAATTTTTGTGAATAAGTAGGGAAAAAAATAACCAGGGCACCGGCAATAAATAAACACATTAGAAATATAAAAGCAAACATAACAGCAGAAACGGGTCCATAAGGAGTCGAGCTTCAGCAATCAAACTCACAGCGGTGATGAACAGAACCATTTTTGAAACACTTGAACTAAAAACTTCATCTTAAGAGAAAAGAAAGAAATCCTCTGAGCAAACTGTGAATTTAAAAACAATTAAATGTGGGCATATTTATGCTCCATCTCACCAAGACATTATTAGTGAGACCCTCCAGCAGCTCCAGCAGCTTCCTCCCATCCCTTAGGTCAGAAAACAGATCTTTGATGGCCGTCTTCCCAGTCTGAAGACACAAACAACATGACCCACAGGTTAGTTTTTACAGGGAAATTAACTAAAATGGAAAAGGCAATGTTATAAAACATTGACAGAAGCAATTAGAAGACATAACGAGGTATATAAAATGTCATTAAAAGGATAGGGAGAATGAGAAAGAGTTAAACACTGAACAGAATAAATTATCAATCCTAACAGTCTGATGAGAACAAAAGCCATATTTCATTTAATTATCTGATGGTATTAATATTGCTATGATGAAATCTATAAACAGGACCACACACACAAAGAAATTTGCCTTTAAGCAAGAAAGTGTTTTTGGATTCATCAGTGGATTAAGGAACCCACGAAGAGGAAATTATGTGTTTTGTTTTGTTCCCACACCTGCTACAAAAACAGAATCTAAATATTTCAGCTGTTTATTTTGCCCCCCTGCCAACAGCTAAACTAGCAGTAAAGAACTCGTTAGCAGGGGACAAAAAGTGTTGAGCACAAATATCAATTTTCAGGGCTGAAATGGTCTCCGTATATAATCACTCTTCATCACAGCGTTGAACAAATCCAAGGGTTTTTTTTCTGTTCTTTGAGGAAACGGGTGCAAAAAGAACTGTTTCACATACCTTGGAGAATTGTGCATTTATCCATTTGGTGAAAGTTTTCTTCTGTACTGTGTCATGCTCATCTGTAGGGGAAAAATGAACGGACTTAGTGTCTTTTAAAACAAACAGTAAAAAAAAAAAAAAACACTCAAAGGTTATTACTATGCGTTTGTGTGTGGGACCAACTTGAGTTAAGGTCAAACTCGCTTTCACACACAACCTGGTGAGTAGTTAATGGAACTGGAGGCAGTCACAGCTTAAAAGCATCTAAATCAACACAGCTAAAACATGGGAACAGTACAGGCAGAGATGGACTTCTTGATGCGTCCAAAATGTCAAAAGGTGCAGAGTGTAAACCCAACACACCAACCCTACACGTACAGACATCCCTGCCCATTATTCTGTTCTGCCCAAATCCAACTGTACACATATTTTACATTCTCTTCCCACTTGACTCCCTCTCACACACAGCTCCTCCTTTATACTCCCAACATGGCTCTGCAATAAGGCCTCATTGTGTTTCAGGCACAAGGTCAGCTGCTTTGATGTGCCTGAACGATGGCCGGCTCGTGTAACGGATCAGAGCAGCTCACACAAAAACCTTGGGATTTGCGGAAAATTACTCTCCGATAGCACATGCAGAAAAACAAAAACGTCTTTTAAAAGATGCAAATGTCCAAATAATTCATTCAAATCGATGATAAGCTTTGTGAGAAACTTTATAAAGGTAGTAAGTCTAATGTAAAATCATTTATGATATATTAAACAAAAACCACCTAAAGGAAAAGCTTACACCTTATAAATAAAAGATTATGAAGCGTTAATATCTAACCTGTTGTAGATAGCTCTTTAAACAACTGCAATTTAGAGAAAGAGTTTATTTATGACCAGATCATTGAGCTAACAGCAAGCCTGAATGGGGCCAAGAATAAAGAGGATTGCACAATGTTTCTGCTGGAAGAGTGGTATAGCATCTCAGGGTATGAGTTGAGAATGATGCTCAACTACTACCACACCAAATTTGAGCTCAATATCTGTATACGTTTCCCAAAGTCAATGATCACCTATATTAGTCATTACGTCATCAATCCAGTCAGAAATAAACATTTTCCAAACTGAGGTCATTCAAAGAGCCATCTACAACAGGTAAGATAGTATTTATTTATAACCTTTCAATAAAACCTCACTTAAAAAGACGTGAGCTTAATCTTGGATATAAAACAGAAGCACCAACTCTTGTAAGTAACAAGTTTCACTTCTTTCTAGCCATCTAACCTGTCAAACATTTATTTAAGCAAGTTATTCAGTAAGGTAAAAAATAATAATAATCCGAGGGAATGGACCAAAAATGAAGCACTCGCAAATGTTTATATGCACTGTGATTAAGGACACGCCTTGTACATGGTATGTGAACCAGTAGAAAAATGCCACTGTCATTTAACAAGCAACTCAGAGCACCAAGAACGGAAGGAAAGGGTCAAAGGTTATGATCATCAGGGCCCACAGTCACTTACCCCTTTGTTTGGGGTGTGTAAAGTGTGTGTTTGCAGCCGCCGGCTGGGTGACAAGGATATAAAAACAAGAATGTAATGCATGAAGAGGCCAGAGGTACGGGCGAGAAAGGTGAAAAGGTGAAGATGAGATAAACTGTGGTAGAGAGGAAAGGGCTTGGGGGGCGGGGGGGGGGGGGGGGGGGGGGGGGAGGGCGGGGGTGGGGCTAAAGACCAGGCATTGCTTCCGAGTCCCTTCATCTAAACTTTAGATATTCAAAGGTTGAAAATTGTTTCTCTGATTCAGGGCATAAACATGACTTTAGAGACATAAGAAACAAAAAGCAGGACAACTGGATGTGTGAGACATTGAGGAAAAGCAGAAGACGTCTGTTGCCTAAACTGATATGTTCACATTTTCCACTCTCTGCTTCCTGTCTTTTAAAAATGTTCTCAGGTTATGTTCACCCATTTTAAGCAAAGTTTATACAGCAAAAATTAGGTGTGATTTTTTTTAGGCCTGTCGCGATAAACAATAAATCAATTAATCGCATGTAAATTAAAATGATCAACCTTGTTTTCATTTATTGGCTTTATCGTTTCTTCGTGTCTCTCTCTTTCTACTGAAGACACTGAATGACAAAAGGCTCCGGTGCTTTTCACTGACACCTCCCTTTCTCTTTTCTCTTTAAAATCTGTTTTAACCATCTAAAATCACATTTTTGGATCGTTAAAAGCAGCTAAGCTGAGAAGCTAAGCTAAGCGCCCAGCTAACAGGCCGAACTCAGGAAAAAACCTCCGTCTTGTCGAAGCTCTAAAATTCACGGTTGAAACCCATGCCTACGTGCAAAAAGTTGTTTTTCTCTGCAAAAAGAAGCTAAAAACTTGTTTACCGTTTTCTTATTAAAAGCTTTGTGTGAAAAATGCTAAAGAGCTCAAACCACACCGAGTGTCCGCCATTTTGAGAACAGAAAAAAAGGAAAGAGGGACAACCCATGTCACGTCAAGGGGCCTCCCTCCCATTTTTCTTAAAGAGACACGCTGCTCGCTCCCTCACTATCCATCCTTCGGTTCAAATAGTCTTTTACTGGTCGAAAAAAGGTACTACAGGCAAAACAAATTAAGCATTTCTTCTTAAATTTGACGATAATTACTAATTATCGTCAAATTTCAAACAATATCGTTTATCGCAATAATTTCTGAGACAATTAATCGCCCAGCAAAATTTGTTATCGTGACAGGCCTAGTAACAGCTAATAAAAAAGGGGAAAAAGGTATTGTTCCAAGGAACCAATTAGGTATGATAAAGTCATACAAAGGGTTTTGTTGTAGTTAAAAGTGTCACACGTGTGACAGGTTGGAAAAAAAAATGTACAAAAGGAAACAAGCCCAGAGGGCTACAACTATCAAGAGGAGCAATTACAGAGGAGAAATGTATGGTAAAACTGAATTAATGAGGAGGGTAGGAGCAAATAGTTCAAGTATTATTTCTAAGAATCCTCATTTAGGTGCCTCCTGTCCCTAATCAGCACCCACGCTGGGCCTCTGAGGGCCCTGATGAGCAGGTTCCTGAGGACGCATGTTGTCCTGAGGACCGTCATTGCAGGACAATAAACCTGATTCATGCACACTGCTCCTCTTTGATTTGTCTTCTTCTCCTGCTCACAAGAGCGCAGGAATGTCTAACTGCAGGACAGATCAAAGTAGTGGCATTGCTGTTTGCATGAGCCGGACAGGGTAAAAAAAATCTCCTTACAAAGAGTAGTCTGTGCACCACTGATGAACACTCGTGATACAACATTCACACACCAAAACACACGTCCACTTCTGTCACTGGACTGTTGTTCACAAGAGTCGGCTAATTAGAAAAGAGGCTTCGAGTTCATCTGTGAAACTAAACTTGATGAATTTAGATGAAACAGAAAAATACAAATTAAGTACTACATGTTATTAATGTGACATAGCTGGTCTCTTAATGAACATTTTTTAAATGAGATGCAAAATTTTACTAAACAAATGCCACTCAAAATAAAAATAATATCATATCCCCACAGGTAATGTAGTCCAGAAGGATTAGATTTATATTCCAGTCAATCATCTCACTTCTGCTACTTCTTTCAAGAACTCACACGTGATGTTTCTGAGATTTATTTATTTTTTTTTACGTTTTAGTTTAACTCGTCTACCAGGTGTTTCTAATCAAATAAAATTTACAGAAAAACATGTATCCAGGGTGACACCAGTAAGACAAATGACTTGGAATCACAGAATTTATAAAGAAAAGTGTCAACTTTTTTTTTAAAAATACAATAGATGGTGATTTAGTAAAAGTAGCGTGCAACACAGACGTGTGTAACCTCCTCGACATGGATGACGCCACTTCCCGGCTCCAGACTCGAGGCAGCTCAGCAGAGCTGGGGGGCAGCATCTCCGGAGTATCATACGATCATACAGTGACCTGTAAGATATCTGCAGACGGGCAGCATCCCCTGGTATATGGTTCCTACTCAATCATGACAAGACCAAATGCCAGTCAAACAGCTTTTACCACCTGTCCCAGCTTGTATGAAGAAAATGGTCCGTTACTGGTCAGGCCTTGTAGGAGAAGGCTTCCCACCGAGGGCTCCTCCAAGCTGGAAATGCAGGGGACGGATGAGCACGGGCTGACCAAACCCCCAGCTGTGCAGCCCTCAGTGGCATACCACCTCCACCCCAAGTGCAAGTCAGTTGCAGCACCCACTAACATTTATCTCCCAGTTAAATCAGATCGCCTCAATGTGTCGATTTATCAGAGAATGTACAAATATGCAGGACAGTTGGTGTGTTCGCTCAATGCAGTCATACTGTCAGCATATGGAGCTGAAATCCTGGAGGAGATGGGCTGGCAGCTGGGCTCAGGGTCACCTAATCTCACACTGTGGGATTAAATTTGTGTTGTAAATGATCCTGCCTTCATCCAGAGGAGCTGTTCAGAGGAGCGGTCGTGTCATGGGGCTTGCTGTTGTGGGTGAAATAGCCCTGTGACTGAACCTTTCAGGTCTGGGGGACTCCCAGAAGGAAGAGGGTATGGATGCAGCCTACAACCCGATCAAAGGTCTTTTTGGCCCGGCCTTGGAGAAGATGCGAGATGAGCATTCTTAGGAAACAGGAGGGTGAGGTCTTTAACCTCTGCTTGCTGCGCAAATCTATACACACCCTGCACAGGGACCCAGTGTTTCCCACAGAGAAACACTTCACTCTGTTATCAAAGAACCAGAGTTATGTTAAGAAACCCAACGTTTCCCTGCATCACTATGGAGAAAAATAAAAACTTAATCTAAACACTTGTTTTTTTTTTTCTTTGCAGGATGCTTTTTATAAAATCAGATGCTGATGCAAATCAACAATGACCACTGTCATTTTAACCTCGTACACAGTTCACTCAAAGAAAAAAGAGGAAATAATCACAAATTTAAATAAATTCCTTTAAATCAAATCCCCTTTTTTGTCTGTATGTTACACAGTTAAATCAGTTAAGCCGTGTCTTTTTTCAATGAAGAGAAAAGCCGTGCATCGAGTGTACGCAGCCCTTATTCTTCCCTTCAGCTGTTGTT